TATATATATATGAGATACTATATGAGATATATATATATATATATATGAGATACTAGCGCCAAATCCATTTCTGACCATAACCTGTAATATCATTTCTCCTGACAAGTATATGGTAGTGTAAGATGGTTCAACTATACAAAGAACAAATTGGAAATATGCAATTTGAAGCAGCCAACAGGAACTGAGCAGAGGTTATGAAAAAAAACTGGGTAATAATTGTTTAATTTCAGAGTATCAAAAAAAAAATGCCTAAACTTTCGAGGGTTATGTTTCATGTAGTATTTTTTTTATTTCATGCATCCTGTTGTGTTACAATATACAACTTCTGGACACTGACCTTGATATTTGTTGTGTTGTGACGGTTAACAAAGAAGTTGTTTCATGTAGTAACTGACTTTGTTTTTAACGTGTCAATTTTTCCATACCTTCAATTATGGTGCTAGTGTCATTAGTAGTGACATAGATATGACAGAGCCTGATATCTGTGATCAGATCCTCTCAAGTACATTGGCATTTATTTAAGAGAAAGCATATATTGGAAACTCTGTCTTTCCACAAATTAATGACAGTCAACTCCAGATTTTAATGCCTGTTATTTTTAAACAGCATTGAATATTTCAGCTTAAATGCCACATATTTTTGGTGCTGGGTTGGAAGGCGTGGTTCAAATATATGGCCACCTAGAAGTTGTGATCTGACCCTAACACACTTCTTTTTCAGGAAACATTAAGAAAATTGTACGATATATTCTGTCAAATTTCGTGATTTTCAGCATCTGTAGCAAAGAAACGCTGCAGCCATTAAAACTATTACCCCAGACATATTGGGCTAAGTATGGATAGAGAGTGAATGTCACTTGTACATTTTGTAAGCAATAAATCATGTCTACACCAAAATCTATTCAAAATAATATACACATGATGGAAACCTGGAATTTAAAATGGAGGATGTATGTCAGTTATTTAAACAAATATAACATATAAAAATAGAGATATTCTATTTGTATATGCACCCGAAAGTCCCCATTTAAGGTTTATTTTGGGAACATTGGATTTGAACCCTAAGCTGATGAAAATCTTAACTGGAGGTAATTCAACTTCAGATTGTTGAGCTGGAACCACTGAAGCTGAACAATCAATGATGGAAAACCTTAATGCACAGGATATTAAATGGATGTTCCAGTGTAAATAGTTACTACTGATTGTGAATCCATATATGTGTGAGTAGTAATTGTGCAGTGTTATTTCCTGGGAAGAAGGTTTAGTTTCAATGTGTGTGTAAATAAGAATAAAATAAATCTGTCAAATTTAATTCCTATATGTATATAAATGTAAGGAGAACATCACATTCGTCACTATGACTAGCAGTACAAGTTTAGCTGACGAAGAGCAAATACTCATAGTTAAGTGAGCGACTGAGACATACAACTGTACTATATACATTATCCTATTTAGCAGTGCAAACTATGTACATATGTCATGTATATGTATATGTCAGACAGGTTTGTCACTTTAAGAAAGTAACAGAGTTTCTTTAACAAAAAGTTCTCTGGGTGGACATGTGCAACAAGAGATGAAATATTCACAGTGAGACAACTCCCCAGTCACTCTCACTTCCATATAATATCTTTATGCCCATACACCATACTATGAAGGCCTGTAAGAACTGGAAGTGCTCAGTGATTTCTAGATCTTGGTACTATAGTAAGTGGTCAACTTCATTCTGTGACTCTTTTTACTGTGTCCACTGGATAGGAAACTGACTGGGTAGGCCCCACAACCATTCTGAATACACTACTGGTCAGGAGAAAAATACTGACGGGATTAAAAACCTGGTTGTTTAGCTAACAGTCCATCAGCCAGCTATATTAGTCCAGCCACTGTTTATAAATAAAAAGAAGTCTGTCAGCAAATCATTAACCACCACTTACCTGTCAGCACTTACACATATTTGACATCTCTCACACACAGTCTCATCCATCGTTCTTAATGTTTGAGAAATAAAACATATAGGAATTAAATTTTTACCTGTAATTATTTCTTCTTTTCTTATGATGAGAATGTAACAGTATTATAACAGTCTTAAAGAATAATTCCATCCATAATGAACAGTGCACATTGCTGTTGCTGGAGCTGTTCTATCCATGACCTTAATTCAATTCTCTTATCATTGAATAATATATAATTCTGTAGATACTATAGGGTTCTGACAATGGCATATAACACACAGAGTTACTAGGTTTTCAGACTTTGTCCATTGTCCGGATTCTAAAGAATTAAGAAAAAACATAATGTTTCGGAAACTGGATCTGTGACTGAGGATAGCTCTTTCTAAGGGACCCAACAGAGTAGGTGTCTTCCCCTCACCTGAGGACACAAAAAGATCCAGTTTCCAAAATGTTGTGTTTTTTCTTTGTTATTTAGAACCTGGACAGTGGGAAAAGTCCGAAAACCCAGTATCTCTGCATATAATTTTGTATTAATAAGGTCAACCTGCAACCATTAACTGATGCCTAAAACTCTTTTCTCTCTGATACACTAAACATTTGTAATTTAAATTAGAAATGTTGAACTGTGATAATGTGACAAATGTACTATCAATCCAAATTCACAGGACCAACTCACCTGCAGGGACGGTGCTGCCATGAATCTTGTCACACCAGCCAGCATAGTAGTGGAAAGTGTCAATGGCACAAGCAATATCAAACACAGAATCTCCATATGGTTTTCCATTGTCTAGAGTCTCCAGGTTTGCAATGTATTCAGTGTCCCTCTCAATTAAACTGGCCAACTATAAGGAAACAATAAAAACTTATATATAAGCTTTAAACTTCCAGGCACAAAATATTCCATAATATTTTTTATTCATTTGACTGTCCAAAGAATATTCATCTTCATCACAATCTCTACATGGGTCCATCATTAGTCCTCACCTGTTTACATCCCAATAACCTGTTTCTCAACAGTCCATTTAAACCCCATTTCAGTGCCATCCAATGTACAGAGAATGTCAGTCATTTCATGTCATCAAAGTCTGACAAATACATATATATTGCCTAGCATGGCTATGACATCCATCTGGTTTCTCTCAGTTCAGTTGTTCTTAAAAAGCTAATTTATTTTATTACAGTCCAAACAGGGCGTTGTAAGGTTTTGATTATTGTGTAGTTAGCCATGCTTTTAATTTCCCACATTGTACAGCTTCAAAAAATTCTCTAGGTTGCTGTTTGCTATGTTATTTTACAGCCATTTCTTGTCTCAGTACTGCTTAGATATTGGGGCATGCAGTAGCGTAGTTGGTTGAGGCACTATGCTACAAGCCGGAAGGTAGCAGGATCGAATCCCAATGAGGTGGATTCTTTTCAATTGACCTAATCCTTCCAGTGGCACTATGGCCCTGGGGTAAACTCAGCCTTAACAGAAATGAGTACCAGGAATATTCCTGGCTGGCGTGTAAGGCTGACAACCTTACCACCATCTATGAGCTGACTGTCTAGAAAATGTGGGAGCCTCAACTTCTCATGACCCTATGGGCCTCCACGGCCTGTTAAGGGGATACTTTTACTTTACTTTACTGCTGAGACATTGCTAATTAAATGAACGGAGACTAATGTATATTAAAACACAGACTGGTATTCCATGGTTTTGTAAATGGGTCAATAAATACTATGACATGAGGGCTGACAGAGTTGTGGAGCCAGAGAAACAGCCATTTGCTAGGTAACAGCTGTGTAAGCAGGCAACAATACCAGAGTCATTGTTAAGCAATGTGCACATGCAACAATGAAGGAACTGTGGAGGCTGGTTCAAATACCTGAACTGTAGCCCAGTGAGTCACAGGAGGCAACAAAAAGGGAACCCAATGCTTGGGAGTATAACTGGGCCATCCTGTTTCTGGGGGATATAAATAAGGGGACTTAGCCTTCCAGGTTGGGGGAGTCAAATCTGAGACAGTAAACTATGCTTCTAGGTCCCATAGGACTATGACCCTAGAATGACTGTGCTGGTGAGGGTCAACAGCAACTGAAAATAATGGACCTGTCTTCTTTTCAGAGAGAGTGCCCTCCATCAATAAACTTGCAACTATCTGACAGTAAAAAATATCTACCCTGGGGCCCAGATGGGGGCTTTGCACCAAGACAGACTGGCTGACTGACTGACCGTCAGTCGCAACAAAACTTTTGACTCTGACTTGTGAGTTAGTTCGGCAGTTGGAAACCAGCTAGTAAGGCTTGGAAAAAGCATAACAGATCACTGTGGGTCGCGGTGCAAGGGCCGAGAAGGCCCACCCCTTATACATTCAAGGCTTGGAAACCAGTTGAGAATTGCCAGCTGAAGCTGGAGGTTAGCAGTTGGAAGTCAGTCCATCCTAGAAGCTAGCAGCTGAAGGAAGTATCAGCTGAGGCCAGTGGTCAGAGTATGAAGTTGTTGTGAGATGTTTGCTTCCCTCTAATGATGTGAGCCACAACACAGAGGAACATCCGCACTGAAAACCGCTACCAAAAAACATGACCGAGGACACTAGTTTGTGTGTGATAGTGACCTGTGTAGTGTAGTAACGAGCTGTGAAAGTGTCCAATAAAACCAGTTATCAATCCAAAACTTGCCTATTGTCACTCAAACACGTGATAATACTATTCTGAGGGTAGAATTTAGCATGGCATATGCTTGGTCTAGAATATGCAGTTTTCACTGAGGTATCTGTGTATCACTAAGAGTTTCAAAATATATTTTTATATGTCAATGCTGCTTTCAGAAGCTTATGAAAATGTAACATGACGTATACAGAACAGTACCATTTCATGAAGACAAATGATTATATAAGTGCCTCATTAAGCAAAATACTGTGCTTCACCCAGTGTGCTGAACTCTTCAACAGCCAATTCAGAAAGAAGATATAAAGCAAACAAAGAACTTGTCCAAATAATTCTTGTAGATACAACGGAAAAGCTGAACAGTTTCAGCTTTAAATATTTTCATTCACCACTTTGTTTTGTAAAATATACAATCTCTGCTGTTCCATTAGGGCAGGGGAAGCAGTTACTGAACGTAAAAAGTCACAAATTTACAATATATTTTGAAATACAAAAACTTTTCATTCATGCACCGAATTGATTATCACTGTAACAATTTCCCATTATTGTTATCAAAATTTAGTAACTTAAAGTGTTACATTATGGCTTCCAGCCCTCAAACAGTAGTTTCCATACCTTTCAACAATTGTAAACAAAATTAAGGATCATTTACTTTAGAATTAATAATCTAACTATAGAACTGCATATGGTGTCCTTTAAGACATTTTTCCATAGACTAAGACACTTCCTCCAAAAGAAAAGAAGATAAACAGAGATACAATTAAAACAACATGACTATTAACATATGTCCTTAAATTGCCACTGTAATGGAATCGTTCATTAAAAAAATCATCAGGTCTTTCTACCTAAAGATAAGCGACCAAGTTTCATACCCTTACAAAAAAGAACTAAAATTGGAATTTCATATATTTTAATCTTTGGGATGAATTTGTAAGGAAGCACAGAATAGTCAGTGACTGGCCGAGGACTCAAAATGAGCACCTCAGAACACAATACAAAAGTACTACTGTTTGAGCTTCAACTCAGAGTTGGATCAAAGAGATACTTGATAGTTTTGAATCAGATAATTCTTATACTAAACAAAACAAAAATGGAAACAAAGAACAATTTTTATATTATATCTGACAACTTTCAAATAGAAGGAGTCTCTGCTAGTGAACATAATGAACAGAATCATAGCTATCAATTAATAATTTCTGCTAGCATCTCTAAAAGAAAGTTCTTACTAGTACATTATGTTTCAAAAGACAAAGCCCATGCTCTTTCTTGATGTGGATATAATTACAAATATACAGGGCTAGGGATGTGATCGACCATAGGGTTTATAAATTTCCTGTATTCAAGATTTAATTTTGGTCAAAAAAGAGCCGTGGATAAGTAAAAGAACTAGGTTTTTGGCTCGATGAGTGATGAATTTGGATTTGATTTCTAGCAGACAAGAGATTTTTCATTTCTCAGCAGTGTCTGCGCCAGCTCTGAGGCCCACCCAGCCTCCTATGCAAAGGCTACTAAAGGCTGTTTCTCCTGGAGTAAAGTGGCGTTGTCATGCAGCTAACCAATTATCTTTATCTAGTGCTAGTGTTAGGAATGGTGGAGCCATCTCCACTCTCTCATATATCGTAGTGGAATGGTACTGAACTATTTAAGCACAGGAATTTCATCTTTACTAGTAAGGGTTGTACCTTGTTTATAAGTTTGCCTCGAGCAGATGCATCCAGCTTTCTCCATTCTGAACCAATCTTGAATGCTGCTCTGGCAGCTGCCACAGCATGGTCGACATCAGTCTACAAAACATCATGTACAATTCTAATAAGAAGGTTAACAGAGCTGTTATTTAATATTCACTGACACACCAGTTAATTCCACTAGATCACAAAGGTCACAGTAAGAAAAACTAAGATGCCATGAAAAAGTACAGGGGTGGATAAAATAATGGAAACATTAAGAACTAAGGAATAGAATTTGTTTCTGTTGGTTACATTGAAAGTACTTTAATTGGTAAGGCTGCATGCTCTTCTTTTGTTTGTTTTTATTCTCTAGTCCTCACGTCAGTGCACTAGTGATTGTGCTGCGGGTCCTGAGTGACAGTCGGTTTGAAAGAATCAGGAAATGGGAGACCTGTTCAATTTTGAAACAGAACAGATCACTGGTGCACGTTTAGCTGGAGAATCTGTGATAAAAACATTATTAGGTGTATTAAGAGTGATAGTTTCTAAGGTTATGTTAGCATGCATGAAGGCATCATCAGTGATGAGGAACAGTGGGCAAATATCAACACTGAGAGAAAGAGATCATCATACATGGAGGATTTTTTTTAAATCACAGTACTGCAGCACAGGTCACAACAGAACTGAATGTTCATCTTGGAGACCCTGTTTCGACAAAAACTGTCTGACATGAGCTTCACAAATTCAACATACATGGTAAGGTTGCAATTGCTAAACTTGTGATTACTGAAATAGTGCTCAGGTGCACTAGTGATAGTGATAGTTTCTAAGGTTATGTTAGCATGCATGAAGGCATCATCAGTGATGAGGAACAGTGGGCAAATATCAACACTGAGAGAAAGAGATCATCATACATGGAGGATTTTTTTTAAATCACAGTACTGCAGCACAGGTCACAACAGAACTGAATGTTCATCTTGGAGACCCTGTTTCGACAAAAACTGTCTGACATGAGCTTCACAAATTCAACATACATGGTAAGGTTGCAATTGCTAAACTTGTGATTACTGAAATAGTGCTCAGGTGCATAAATGGTTGTGTCTTGACCATATAAGCTGGACATCAGACAACTGTAAATGCTTGTGTTTTATGGTCAGACAAGTTGTCCTTCATGCTGTTCCCTACATCAGAAAGCATTTATGTTTGGAGAATATCTAAGAAAGACTACAATCTGCAATGCCTGGCTCGAACAGTGAAACATGGGGGAGCTTCTATGATGGTTTGGGTGGCAGTATCATGGTGCAGTATTCTGTTGGTCCCATCGTTACCCTTCATGGCCGAATTACTGCAACGGAGTATGTGGACAGGGTAGGTAATCAGAGGCATCCCATGAGCCGGACGTTACTTCTGAATGATGCAGTTTCTCAAGACAACAATGCCCCCCTTCACACAGCTAGAACTGTTCAGTCATGGTTTGAAGTGCATGAAGGTGAACTTCACCTTCTCTGGCCACCACAATCACCAGATCTGAACATCACTGAATCACTCTGGTCAATTTATGAGACTAGAGCAAGGAACAGATTCCCACCTCCAACATCTCTGAAGCAACTTGAAGACGTTCTCAAGAAGAATAGTATAAAATTCTGCTAGAGACTGTTCAAAATTTGTACAAGCCAATTCCAAGGACTGCAGCAAAAGGTGGTTCAACACCATATTAATAAAGAAACGTGTACCGTATCTGTAGTGTTTCCGTTATTTTGTCCAGCTCCTGTATATGTTACATGAAAAATATTTTACATGCTCTTCAATGTAACACCATGTTTTCCATTTGCCCCACATAAAGCCTTCATTCAAAATACTAGTGCATACATATGTATATAGCATCTTATTCTTCCCAACACTGATAAGAGAGGTTGAGGAATGTTCAGGGAGTGGCTGCCCACATCTGTAGTATGCTGTTCAGAACTATAAGGTTTATTTTGGACTCTATCCATCGTCTGGTATATATAACACAAAAAACCACAACGTTTCAGAGACTGGGTCTGCCTCTGTCCTCAGGTGGATGGGGCAAGATAGACCAAGTCAGTTGGGCCCGTTAGAAAGAGCTAGTCTCAATCACTGGACCCAGTGACCAGATGATGGACAGAGTCCAAAATAATCCTTACAGTTCTGTACAGCATACACCATCGTCAGAATCCTTTAAAGTCTATTACTATGTAAACAGTTCATAAAAACTGTTTTTATACATTGCACATAGATTTCCTTTAGGTGAGATCTTCAGTGTAAGAACATCTTACATGAAGGTTGAAAATAAAGTAATGATTCTCTTAAAATGATCCCAGTAGTTTAAATTTAAGTTTACCGATTTATGGACCTGCCTTAAAAGACAACAAGTGTTAAGTCCTCTTTACATAACAAAAACTGATCAACTCATGACCAAATTTCCCTCCTCTACCTACTTCTTTCTACTGCCTAACTGATAAAATGAACAGCAAACATAGCAACTGAAAATACTGGGACATATAGTCAGACTCTGGTGATAGGATTGACCTTTCAGACTCCCATAACCAAGCTGGAAGTAGTATTGTGTTACTTGCAAATTAAACAAGAACAATAAAAATGTAACTAACTCCATGAAGTAGTCTTTTGTAAGAAGCTAAGAGTCACTCAGCTGGTCCTGAAATTCTCTGTCTTTTATGAACCTAAAAATTCACGACCACATCCACAAAAACCTACTACTTTTCCCTGAAGATGGTGAATACAGTCTACACATTCATGATCATCTTTCTTCAAGATTGATTTTAATATTATATGGTGTCAGGATAGGTCAGTCAATAGAGCAACAGGCTAAGGTATGGATGACCAGGGTTTGATTCCTCGCAGTGCAAGAGTTTTCTCTTCTCCACAGCGTCCAGACTGGCTCTGGGGCCCACCCAGCCTCATATCCAGTGAGTACTGGGGGCTCTTTCCCTGGGGGGTAAAGTGGTAAACAGTATAAATTATGTAGTTCCTTATTATTCAGATTGCGCCATAATCTTGTTACTTCCTCCCTCTCAAGTTAAAATATTCTCCTCAGCACCCTATTCTTACAGTTAGTCTACATTCCCACATCAGCGTCAAAGACCAAGATTCACACCGATGTGCATTTACAGGCATGTGCTGGCAAAATTAAAACTACTAGGTCCAATGTTCAATTGTCAATTTCCAGCTCTTATTACTCAACCTTCAAAAATGGAAAGAATGGGTTTATAATTTCTTTGTTTTGTGCATGTGCCTCTTAATGGGGTCTGGAGAGGGACATGAAGAAAGAAGGGTTGAAATTTATAGCGACAAAAGTAGAAAGACTGACCACATTGTGCAGAAAGCAGTAGTTATAAGCATACATATTATCAGTTCTACAGATGACAAGCCTGGTCAAGCTGAGGTCACAACCCAGAGCACTAAGCTTGCTTTGTAATGTCAGACTGTGTCTGTTTTGTTTTTTTTCGGAAATTATTTTCCATCTCTTTTATCTTGAAGTACCAATCTGGCAGAATGGGTGCTAGTTTTATGAACTGGTTTCCCCATACTGGTGCCAACTAGATCCAGAATGTCATTGAGTGTACAAGTATATGATGGTAAGGATATAAAGACCGACTACATTGTGCACAAAGCAGCAGTTATAAGAATACAGAGTACCAATCCTACAGATGACAAGCCTGGCCAAGCCAAGGTCACCACTGGGAGCAGCAACTTCCTCTGTAATTTCAGACCTGACTGGCTTGTTTTCAAGGGCATTTACATTAGTTATAATTTTAAATAATAGCCTGGAAGAAGAGGCACTAGATTCATGAACAGGTTGGTTCAAACTGGTGCCAACTGGTTCCTGCATATCACTGTGTTCTTGTGTATATATACTATATACTATATATATACTCTATACTATATACTGTTGACGTAAACTCCTTGTTAATGAATCTGTCTATATGTTTAAAATATTTATTCTTATGTCTTTTTTTGGAGTATTTATTATTCTTAAATTAAGTTAAAAATGTACTTTGAAATGTATTGCTGTATTATAGTGATGAATCACTGTGTGAATGTTAT